GTATTAATTCCACAAGGGGGCATCTGAAGCATATTTTTTTAACCTAAAGTAACTGCGAACAAAATTGAATACGAGGTGTCTTTCAAACATCAAGATAATTAAAGGAATTAAAAAATTGGTTTGCTATAAACGCACCTATGCTTAGAAGCCTTCAGTTAAAATTTGGGTTGAGTGCACAATGAGGGCATTAAAAATTGTCAGGGGGTGAGGATACATGCAGCTTTAGGCTTCTGTGGTAGTTTTGATGGCCAGAAGCCTATATAACAAGCACGAGATCATAGAAAAATGTCTCTGCTGACGGATTTTGGATTATCTTTACTGTCCTTGTCAAGCAATGAAGCCATCAATTGGTCCATCTAAAACAAGATAACAAAAAACAAAGTTTGTCCCTCTTCTGTTCTTTGTGGGATGGGGCATGCCGATGCCTTGCTTAGGACCACATTTGGAATACTGGATCCAGTTTTGGTCACCATGATGTAAAAAAGATGTTGTGACTCTAGAAAGAGTGCAGAGAAGAGCAACAAAGATGATTAGAGGTCTGGAGGCTAAAACATATAAGGAACAGTTGCTGGAATTGGGTATGTCTAGTCTAATAAAGAGAAGGACGAGGGGGGACATGATAACAGTGTTCCAGTATCTCAGGGTCTGCCACAAAGAAGAGGGAGTCAAGCTATTCTCCAAAGCACCTGAAGGCAGGACAAGAAGCAACGGATGGAAACTAATCAAGCAGAAAAGCAACATAGAACTAATGAGAAATTTCCCAACAGGGAGAACAATTAATCAGTGGAACGACGCCTCCAGAAGTTGTGGATGCTCCATCACTGGAACTTTTTAAGAAGAAATTGGACAAACATTTGTCTGAAATGTTATAAGGTTTCCTGCTTGCATAGGGGTTGAACTAGAAGACTTTTAAGGTCCCTTCCAACTCTGTTATTCAGTTATTCTGTCATGATTTATGAAAGGCACCAAAGCTGCAAATAGCAGCTTTAAATGTAATAGTGTACTAGGCGATTCTGTTCCAATAAAGAGATTTTCAACATTTGGAACAATTCTTACATTCTCTGTAAAGTTTCTTTGGAGGATCCCTTTTGGAATCATATCAAAGGGTTCCAGTCATCTTTCAAAATGCCGAATCCAATGCACATGTACATAACAGAATAACCTATGACAGGACTTAGCATAAATAAGCTTTTAGGCTGTAATTGTCTGGTCTGCATGCTTAAGTCTAAAGGTTCTTCAATTATATAATCACTTCTTTTCTTACACCATATACAAAAGATCTTCCACCCCCAAATGTAAGAAGCAAAGCACAATTTTTTTTTGTGGTTATCATTTTTCCTCAAACCTTGGATGCCTTTGTATTGTTCCAAATAAATGACACAGCGATGAAAATAATGAGTTTAATAAATATTAGTACAGAAATAATATAGGGTATAATTTCTTCTCTCATCTGAAGGAATTAAGGCTTCACACGTACAGTCTGAAAAATTTCCTAAGCTCTCAGCTGAGACACTCTACTGAGGAGACAACTGCACTCAACCACAAAATCTTTATTTTTTTGTTTTTTTTAAAAAAAAAATTGTGCAAGCCAATGCAGAACAGAGTTTGTTACAATGGCGGAATAAATAATACCCCAAAGAGGCAGTTTTAGGTCAAGATAAAAATCCAATTCAGCTTTCATATTGATTCAAGCTCTATTCTTCGTGACAATCTCAGCCCTGGGAAACCAAAAGACAGCGCTTTAATTTCTTGCTTACACACCGAAGTCTGTGTGGACATATAAACATGATCTCAGATGGAATTATTTCACTTTTGTTGAGTTCCTTCTGCAGGGCCAGGGCTTAAAGTTCACTTTTCATAGTAACGTAGGAGACCTTTTAGAGCAGACATGTCAAACACAAGGCCCGGATGCGGCCCGCGAAGTGGTTTCATGTGGCCCGCGAAACCATCCTGGAAACAGTGAGGGAACGGCCCCCGCTGCCATGGCCCAGGCCGGCCGGGAGCCAATGTACAATTTTGTGGTGGCCATCTATACTTAAATGCATTCAGTCTTAGCTCCATAAGCCACCCCCCCCCAAATGGCCTGAGAGGAACAGTGAGGCTCCTCCAGTGGACCATGCCTTGGCACTTGCCCTGGTCCCACCCCCTTCTGCCAGAGACCCTCAGATCTGTCCCACTCCCCCACAGGCACCCTTGATGCGAACGATGTAGAGCTGGGCACATCCACCCAGTAGGCCACACCCACTCCATCCACACCCACCCAGTAGGCCGCACCCACTCTGGCCACACCCACCCGGTCCCCCCAGGGCAACCGCAATGCTGATGCAGCCCTCAACGAAATTAAGTTTGACCCCCGTTTTAGAGCATAGTATCAAAATGCCAAAATCACAACGGATGAAACAGAAAAGGAAATAGAAAAGGCAACAAGGAAAAGGACGGAGAGCGATTCCATGTATGTTTTATTGCACTGCACATTCAAAAGGGAGAGTCTACCACTTGCGAAGACTCTGCCTCAGACGGGAGTATCAAGAAAACAGCTGGAAAGAACCATTATATATCAAAACCACCAACATCTCTCTCACACGCCCACCTCAAATGTGACTATTTTAAAATGGAGACCGTTCCCAAGATTCAGCTGGCCACCATCTTTCTAGACCCCGTTGTTTTATTCTAATCTCCACCTCCACATAAAACATTGGTTCAAGTTGCTGCTCCTTTCAGTTGCTGCTCCTTACCTGCCCACATTCCTTCATCCTACTGTTCCATCAAGACCACCATTTTCCTATTCAGTCCAGCCAGCTGGAGCTCTCAAACCACAACTTCTCAACCTTCTTCTGAGGTGTGGAGTGTCCCACGAGTGTTCAAAGAAAAAGCAGGATACGTAGGAACAAGAAGGACGTCCAGGCATGAGTTACACAAATGAGAATTAATGCAACGAGTTGGCAGTCCTGCTGTGCAATTAGAAACCATTGAAAAAAGCTTTAGATGCCTAATTACTCTCTCCATCAGTTTCTCTACAGCAAGCTGATCTTAAGAGTCGTTCAGCACCCACCATCCATCCTGAAGTTTTGGGGTTTTTTTTAAAAAAAGATCTACTTCATAATGTACAATCCGTTTCTACATCATTCACGGTTTTTGTTTTGTTTTTCTCACAGTTACACAGTAGCCTTTAGTTACTGTCTTCAAAATGTACCTAAGGCAACGATAGCAGGTTTTCCTCCATACTGCAGAAAAGCTATTACACCTACAGTTCGTAAAAATACTCAATACGACACCGAATACTTCAAAACAAGGTAGTGATGTTCTTTGCATGTACTGAACAGCAAGTCAAATGATTTAACTACACGCTGGCTCAATATCATCCTTTGAGAAGATAAATGTCTGAGCAAGGTTCTAAAGCGCAAAACTGAAAAAAATACAACGATCGCCTTCCATTTAATAGACAACAGATTTCATTTCCGTGACATTCCCTGAGACAAAAAAAATAATAATAAGTGCGCAATAACAACTAACAACTGAGGTCGTAAACATGCTACTATTACATATAGTGTCTATGGAGTACATTTATCCCAAATGTACAATATGCTGACTATTGCCCTCACAATCCTACTTTGCAGACACCAGAATGGGACAATTTGACGCAACCAAGTAGCCGTGGCCAACTCACACTTCAACAATTCAATTTAATTATTTAAAATAATTTTAAAAAATATGTTAATTGTTGTCATTCACATTTCAATTTGTCCCTCCATTTTGGCATCCTTTCTTTAACGATTCTATCCCACCATTTCTTCGATATTAGTCTAACTCTCATCCCTTGGCGAGTTGGCTGTGGCAAGTGGTCGTAGAGCTGAAGACACTGTCAAATCCACCCAATCAACATACAGTACCGAAAAGTCCTGTGCGGGTGAATAACCATAAAAGGCAACACAGGAAGATAACTTAATGGCGTGATTTTGAATGATCTCTACGACAGCTCTTGAACCGATATGAATTAATCTCATCCCCTTGTTTACCACGCTGAATTGCAAGCTGTCAGAGGGTCTTTTCACTGACACGGGAGGAAAGGAAAATAGCCTCGGACTTTCCAAGTTAACTGGGTACTTTCTGAAAAATGGACCAAGATCCCTAAGGCATGCAGAACACATGCTGAAAAGTTTCCAAAACTCATTGATAAAAAGCAGGTTTTTTTTCAGGATTCTTCCATTATGGAAATCAAGCTTGAAGACAGCAGTGGAATGCCTTTCGTAATTAGCTTCGAAGATGGGTGGGTCCACTGAAAGACATCACACTGGTTCATCCACACATTCTCAGAGATAACCTTACAAAACGGCATCAAGCGCCTGGAACAGAACTTAGGAAGTTGTGCAAGGGAGGCCATCTTGCGAGGGAGGCCACTTCCGGAGCTCATTCCGAGTACCACGACTACGAAGTTGCAGGATCATTATTCTTTCTTTTCTTGGAAGGTACCCATTTGCTACAAAGACAGCAAGGAGCATTCTTGGTCCAGGGCGACAATGTGGACTGATCCATGTATATCTGCATTTATACCCTCACTCAGTGCACTAGAGATGGTTTTTTTTTTTTTTGTGATTTAACTTATTCCAGGTCAAAATAAGAAGCAAAAGCCTTGATGTCAAGGTCAAAGGCCTGTCTTACAGACACGATGGATACAACGCTGGGGAACTTACAAAATGTAGTCCTCTTCCTTTAAGCTGTGCAAGGTCAGAAGAATCAGCAGAACATTCCAGAGGGGACGTCATCTTCAGTCTAGGTCAGTGTTTCTCAACCTTGACAATTTTAAGGCATGTGGACTTCAACTCCCAGAATTCCACAGCCAGCAATGCTGGCTGTGGAATTCTGGGAGTTGAAGCCCACATGCCTTAAAATTGTCAAGGTTGAGAAACACTGGTCTAGGTAAAGAGTTTCTCTGAAACACACCTTAATCGTTTCATTTAGACTTTTTTTTTTTATTTAAAAAACACACACGCACGCACGCACACTTCCAAGAGTGAAAACACTCAAGTATTTTAGCAACATTAACACCGCATTGTAGAATGGTTCCGTTCCCCCTTTTCGTTCAAATAGCTGCTGCTTCTTCCTGGTTATCTGATTTCCGTACCCTTCGAAGCATCCGTTGCCAGCAACGGATGCCCAAGCTGAGAAGCCGACAGCTCCGTTGAGCTTTCTTGGGCCGCAGTCAAGTCCCTGGGAAGAGGCTCCTTTCCTAACGAGTCATCAACTTCTACTTGTACAAACTCATCGTAGGGCTCTGATACATGCACATGTAAGCATCGCAAAGCAGTCTTCGTGCACAGCCTTGGATTCTCCTCGAGTCCAGAGAGTGCAATTCCTCCAGAGACATTTTCAGATACTCGCCAACTTCTGGGCACGGAGTCACTTGAGGGATGTTAAAACCATTTTGACCTCCTTGGAAGAGAAAAGAGAGGAACACGGATTACCCCAGCAGGACAATAAGACAGCCTTAAAACTATGTTGTTCTGAGATTATTATTATTATTATTATTATTATTATTATTATTATTATTATTATTATTATTATTATTATTATTATTATTATTATTATTATTATTATTATTATTATTTAAATTTATATCCCGCCCTTCTCCTTGCGGACTCAGGGCGGCTGACAATCGATTAAAAAACACCAACAACATCTACAGGTTAATGGCATTCTACTTCACGCCAACTTAAATCTCCCAGCTTGTGACCGAAATTATCCATTTCGGAATAAACCAAATTGAGTTCCACAAAAAAAATTAAAAAAAAAGAGTGCAAAGAACAACAAAGATGATTAAGGGACTGGAGGCTAAAACACAAAGAACAGTTTGCAGGAACCAGGTTTGTCTACTTTAATGAAAACAAGGACTGGGCAGTGTTCCAATATTTGAGGGGCTGCCACAAAGAAAAGGGGGTCAACCTAGTTCTCCAAAGCAGAAGAAGAAGAAATGGATGGAAGCTAATCATGGAGAGAACCAACCTAGAACTAAAGTTGCGGGTGCTCCAACACTGGAGTTTTTAAGAAGAGATTGGATAATCATTTGTCTAAAATGGTATAGGGCAGTGGTTCTCAACCTTTTTAATGCCGCGACCCCAACCAGTCGTAAGTCAAGGACTAAACCGGTCGTAAGTCAAGGACTAAACCAGTCGTAAGTCGAGGACTACCCAACCGGTCGTAAGTCGAGGACTTTCCCTGCCCAGGAGCGCCGCGCATGCGTGGTTCCGCCCCCTGCGCTGGCCGAGGCGTATCTGGCAAGCGGCAGAGACGGGGCAGGCCGACCACCAGCTGGCCCAGCCCAAGGGAGGTAAGGCAACTGCCGCAAAAGGGAAAAAAATGGTGGACAAAAAAAATGGTGGACAGCCTTGCTTGGCGACCACCATGAAATGGTCGATCGACCCCAAATGGGGTCCCGACCCACAGGTTGAGAACCACTGGTATAGGGTTTTCTGCTTGAGTAGGGGGTTGGACTAGAAGACCTCCAAGGTCCCTTCTAACTCTGTATTTATATTATATTGTCTTTTTCAACTTTCCATACCCTGCCACCATCCACATTCGTTTTGTACATAATTCCTGGAATTCTCAGAGCTGAGCAGAGATTTAATTTTTTTTTTACTCTCCCTGGCCTTACCCTACCATCAGGGGTAGTCAACCTTGACTCTTTTATGACTCGTGGACTTCAACTCCCAGAATTCCTGAGCCAGCATGGCTGGCTCAGGAATTCTGGGAGTTGAAGTCCACAAGTCATAAAAGAGCCAAGGTTGACTACCCCTGCCCTACATCATTCACCTAGCTTTTTCTAGATTAACCTAGCATTAACAAGACAGGATTTGAAAAGTGGATGCCACGGTTCAAAGACTGGGGGAACACGGCTTCGACCGTGCCACGAGGCATCTCACGACAGATGTTGTGGTAAGACGTTCATGCATTTAAGTGCCAGGCTAGCAGCTGAATCTTCACAAAAGAGAAAACATACCATCCCGATCAGCCATGCTATCAAAAAAGACCCAAGAGGAATCTTCCTTGCCGTATTTCACAAAAGCCACATAGTGGCTCGTCTCTATACAAAGGACGGCAAAGAGATCCATCTTCTGACAAGGTATGCAGCTGTGCCTCCAGTCCCAGTCTGGTAAGTCTTTCGGGAGGGACACTGGATTGAACTTGTGACTCTGCCTTTTGGGGTGAAGATGAACCTAGACGGGAGGGAGAGAAGGAACTTTTAGCAAAGGGAATTTCATTTTTGCCCCTCTCTGAAAAAATCCAGTTCCCACACAAGAACAGCAATGTCAAAAAACAAAATCCTAGGACAGTGATGGCGAACCTTTTAGAGACCAAGTGCTCAAACTGCAACCAAAAACCTGATGGGATGTGTAGGATAGTTGGAAAGGAGGAAGGAGGAGGTGTAGTGGTCAAGAGGGGGAGGAAGGAAGAGGGAAGTAGGTAGGAAGGTAGAGGGAGTGTGGATGCGGGGGGGGGGGGACCGCCGACTATTTCTGAATACCTAAAGAGTAGGTTTTTTATGTGTTTGTTTTTCTAATGAAATGCACCATATTTGTATTATTTGCTCATATGTTTATTTGAAAAAATTAATAAAAACTTTTTTTTTTTTAAACTGCAACCCAAAACCCACTTATGCATCGTCGAGTGCCGGGTGGGTGTGGCCCATTGGCTGAGTGTGGCCCATTGGGTGGGCGTGGCTGCGGTGGTAACGGCAGACTGGGTGGGATTAAAAAGTTCAATCAATCAATTCCAACTTTGCGAGATCTTTTTTTTTTGCCCCGCGAGAAGTTGAAATTGATTGACTGATTGAACCCTTTTTTTTTTTTTTTTTGCACACGGCGGCGGAGGCCTAAAGCGAAAAGGTTTTATAAAACCCAGCTGAAGGCCTAGGACTGGGGTGACGGCGCGCGTGCCCACAGAGAGGGCTCTGAGTGCCGCCTCTGGCACCCGTGCCATAGGTTCGCCACCACTGTCCTAGGACCTTTGGGGAAAGAAAAAAACTTACCTGCGTATTGCAAGTTTTGCAAAACTGCTTGATTTTACCGGAGGAAATGTCTGAATCGTCGTAACATTCCCGACATTCGTACATTGCAAGTCCTCCACAGATACGGCACTGCCTGGGAGCTGCATTTTACAAAAGGAAAAACACCCATTGTGCTGGAGGCTACCATTCTGTATAAACCGAGATTTTTTAAAATAGAAAATTAAACTTTTCAGTAAAAGAAAATTAGCTCACTCCATTCCTGCACAGATATTACTAATTTAAGGGATGTGACCTGTCGTATTTGGAGTTCTTCTAGATCAGGAGTGTCAAACTGCCGGCCCGTGGGCCAGATGCGTCATTGCGAAACCGCACCCACCTCATTGCCGGCAATGGAAAAAAAGTCGGAATACGTCACGACACGTCATGTGACGTTGCGAGTTTGACACCCCTGTTCTAGATTTTCTATTGAGAACTGAACAGGTGTGGCAGATAGGAAGGAACAGATGAAAACAAGAATTGAACGGGGGGGGGGGGGAACTCACAATTTCTCCGGGGATTGTTGGAAAAATTAAGTCTTATTCATTCTGCGTTGATACAGTGGACGTGCAACTTAAACATGTTCCATCTAAATTCTAACAGAATATACTAGCCAGCAGACTGGCTGGTAAAAGATTCATTATTTCCTAAAGACAGTTAGGATATCTGTTTTCTTTATTTCCCAATGGCAGTAGAATTCATTTATTTTAGGAAGCTGAGAAACTGGAGCAGCCTGGAGGTCAACCATTGATATGGTTTTGCTAAAGTTCGCAATGAAGGTTTCAGACCCTGATTCTATTTGTGTATCTGCATTGAAACAAGGTTTTTATGGTCCACAGCAACTCCATTCTGCATTATTTTGAAGGTGATTCATTTTATTGATAAAAGGTATCCAGCTTCATCAAATGCCATGGAATTCATTTGAACAACTGAAGATTCAGCCTTATTGCACCATCATGAAGCACATTTAAACTCACTGTCTTCCAGCAGGTCTGTGATATTCAGTTCCAGAGAGGGGAAAATTTTGTTGAACATTTTGAAGTCCTTGCCAAATCGAGGCATCTGAATGATCAGACATGATGGGGCCTAGTAAAACCCAACAGAAAAAGGATAGGTGTTTTAGTCAAAGAGACTTCATTTGCTCTGTTTCAGTTCATTAAATCCTGATGGCCCCTAATGTAAAGTTAAAAAATATAATCAGTTACACAGCTTAGTCCAACCTTTGACTTAACAATCTAAAGCAGGGATGTCAACTAAACCATTTTAAGACTTCTGGACTTCAACTCCCAGAATACCCCGCCTCTGGGAATTGAAGTCCACTGGTCTTAAAGTTGCCAAGGTTTGACGCCGATCTAAAGCAAGAAGGAAACTAATGGGCTTCCAGGTGATGCTGAACTAGACCAGAATCCCTTGCCACTGGTCATTCACACAAGGCCGCTGTGAATTTAAGCTGTGGAACATCTGGATGCCTTGAGTTCCCCACCTGTGCTTTAACTAATAAATCATTTGCACAAATAGCTCAAGCAAAGCTTCAAGGAAGTTCTTTTGATATCTACTGAAGAAGTAAATCCCTCATTCAACATGATGAAGAGTCACCTCCTAATCAATAAGAATTTATTGAACTACTGTAGAGACACTTGCATGCTGATCAACTCAGTCAGCAGAATGCGCATTGATTGGTAAAACTATAAAAAGAGGAATCTTTTCCAAACCTCTGCAAATTTCAAATTGCTGTTGATGAAAGACCATTCCAGTAACTGCTGTATGGTAGGCACTCCAACCTTCTCATTCTTGTCCATAAAAATCTGATAGAAATAGCAGTCTTGGACTTTTTGCCCTGCTGATCTAAGAAGAGAGATACAAGTCTATTTGACAACGGGGACTCTTAAGATTGATTNTTTAAAAAGTAGAATCTACTACTACTGCGACCAGATTTGTCTTCGGGGTTAGAGCAGAATCCTGTAGCAATAGATTCCTGCATCTGGAATGAAACCAGATGACTTGGATTTTAAGAGCCTTTCCAAACGTTTAGTTATAAATATAAGAATAAATTATTATTGATTCATCTACTTATAACAAATAAATAACCCATTCTGCTAGAGAAAAGTTCCCTGAAATGGGCTCCAGCATGAGACCAAAAGCTCGGAAGACTAAACTTCCGGTTCCGGTGACCGACCCAGATTTGATCCTGGAATAAATTATTTCCTAAACTGATGAAAGGATTATTTCTAAAGTTAAATAGCCGATACCTATCAGTCTGTGAACTATGAAATTGTTGAAATTACAGATTTCTGTAACCTTCAGACAATTTCCTAACCTATATGTAATTTAGCAATACGGTGCTGGCTACAAGTTCTCCACATCTGATGCTATTATAGCAGATACAAGGTTGAGACATAACTGACATGTATGTGTTAAGTAAGCAAGATAAGGCAGCAATAAGTGCCCTTGAAATATCCCCAAGACAAAGGCATAGCTAAATGTTCACAGTTTACAAAACTAAACACAATTAAAAGTAATGGAGATGCTTGCAGGGTGTTCCCAGCCATAACTGTCTTTTGGAAATTATCCTCAACATTATACATTATAGATAATAAAATAACTCTTGTGACTTTACAATTTCTCTTGTGTGAGCCAAGGATTATCTTTACCTTATTTTTAGGAGTGGTTCCACTCTTAAAATATGATGAAACAAAATATTCAAAAATTCTTCTGGATCTGGAAAAAAAAAGTTTCATCAGAGTATCAAAGCCCAGATAATTTTTGAAAAATATAGTAAAAATGCAAGTTGCCTAACACTGCCTGAAATCAAGTCTCAAAACTGCTAGCAGCACTCTGAACTATGTAACTGGGGAGCCGACATTTTCTAGATTATTTGGAGATGATCTGACACTTGTCTTTAATCATTTTAAGAATCTGCAGATATAGAACTTCATTAATCTATTAATAATAATAATATTTTTATTTGGGGTCACAGACCAAATGCAAGTGCAACAAAGAAAACACAAAAAAGATATAATCACAAACAATTAAACACCAGAAGCCTTGGCTAAAGGGAATTACAACGTTCTCCTCTCCATTAATCTGTTATTTTAAGCAGAGTCTTTAAACTAAGGATGGGCTACCAAACGAACATAAAGGGGTTTATGGTGGTGATGAAAATCTTTTCTAGACTTCTGTTTAATAACATAAAATAACATCCTTTCAGTTCTTCCTCGTTATCAATACTACAGAGTGAATTTACCTTTTTCTTCAGATGTGAATCCTGATGCTGCTTCAACTTTTTCCAGAATCTTTCTCAGTTTCATTATTTTTGTGGCACACACATATCCATATCTAGAAGATAAAAGATGAAAGTCTGAAAAGGCAGACTGAACCCCCCAAGAGGCAGAATCTGAAGAAGCAACATTGTCAAGAATATTATCTTGATCTGCCTCCCGCAATCCAAAAGGAAAAACAAGCAAAAAGAGGTAAAAAATTGTACAGGGGCCAGAGATAGTCAAGCAAAGCAGAGGTTTTTAAGCTTCTTGTTCTACCTTCCAGAAACCATTTCAAACATCCTGTTGGTAGAAGAAGCTTTCAATATTTCCCACCAAAGCTGGCACGTATTACAGGTATCTCATTTGTACTTACATTCGAAGAGGATTTACTATCTCTGTCCGTAGCAGTTCTTGAGTTTCGCTGTAATATTCTACATCGTTCTTCTCTTTGGGTCGGAGCAAGACTGTGTCCAAAACAGAACTGAATGCAAACAGGCTGAAAGAGCAGAAAACAAATAGTTTCAAACTGGAAAGGGGAGGGGAAAAAAAACACATCTTCAGGTCGAGACCGTCCCAAAATCTATTGCAGAAAGAGATGCTTTTAACAGATTCTGACCAATATCTGTTTCCAGGAACAGTATTTACATTTTGTATTTACATTACAGGTTCAGTGTAATCTGAACCTTACCAGCAGCTAAGCTCACCGTGCATACCACCTTACATAATACAAATCAAGTTTGAGAACATTTTGCCTTAAAAAAGAGAATGTGAGCCATATCAAATACCAAAGGCTCAATCAGAAGAGAAAGTAAGAGAAAGGAACACTTGAACGGGAAAAAAAATCCAGGAGAAGTAGTAGTATTAAGTTTGATTCTGTGTCTTTTAAACATAATGCCTTTCCCAGACTGTAAACTAAGCTCTGGCTTTTTAACCTTACAAGGTTAAAAGAAATCCCTAATATACATAATAGTCCTCACTTAATGACTACCCTACTTAATGACCATTCAAAATTAGAAAGGCATTGAAAAACTTTACAACTAGACCTTGCATCTATGACTGTTAACAGCATCCCCACAGTAAGTGATCATGTTTTGGGCATTTCATAATCAGCAGGCATTTACATGTGACTGCCATTTGTGCTTCCAAAAAGCAGGGTCCAAGGAGAAGCCAGCAGTAAAATCAGAAGTCACTTAATGATGCCTGCCAGTCCCAATTCTGATCATTAAGCAAGATGAACTATCTTCATTAACCTTTCAAAAGCACCTAGAAATTTCTAATTGCTGTGTGTGGATTAAAAAACACCATGCGCATGCTATTAGATTAATGTTCACTTCACTGAATTTTTTAAAAATGCCTATCGTGTGTTTTTGTCATCTCAGGTTTGAAACACAGTTTTTTTCTTTATTTACCAGAATAAGGTGGAGTCTAAGTAGCAGGAGTTATAATGACCCTGGATGCCCTTTTTCTTTCCAATCATTGTTTCTAAACCTTCTTTTTCCATTTTTGGAGGAGTGTTTTCTTCAACCACTTCACTGAGATAGCCTCCAAAAGCTGAAAAACAAACCAGGAAATTAAAGCTACGTCTGCTCTCGTTCATAATTCCACATTAGCAACAAGCACAATAGAAATATGACCGTCAAAAGCCCAATGCAAAGTCCAGCATAGTCACAGGCCCACCTGCTTCTCCATTCTTGGGACCAACATTGCTTTTACGGAAACACGTACATCCACTTATTCCTCACAAATGTGCACATATACACATGCTTACAGGCAGAAACACACACACAGAGAGGTAATTAGAAATGTTTTATTCCAATTCAGAATAAAGCCAGAACTTGTCATCAGCAAAGCTGTACAGAGAGACAAAGGTAGACCATACCTAAGGAATTGCAACGTTCAATCTGATTGGACACAGGCTGCAAGGAAGCAAATCTGGAATCAGGTCGACAGCTCTTCAGTTTGACAAAAAGAGCTTTCTTTGGGGCGCAGGTAAAGTAACGAGTTCCTTTAAAAGTCCCATCAGTGCAACCTGTACATTCATCTTCCTGGGGAAAAAAAAAAGAGAACTCTGAACTTCTCGGTCACTACTCACACATATAGAAATTGTAGCGCTACGAGACACACACACCCTACGTATAACCTGGCTAAATGGCTGTCACAACGCTGTTGCTTCCTCACCCAGCCCTCAAACAGCACAGTCACATCATCCACACAATTTCTGACAAAAGTACAAGGCTTAAAGGTGGCTCCTGATGAGATCACAGTCTCCTTTGATGTAGTGTCCCTATTTACATCCCTCCCTCTCCACTTAGCACAATGTGTCATAGAACAGGTCGTCCTTGACTTACAACTAGGCATTCGATGACTATCCAGAATTACAACGGACCCAAATGGGACTTATGACTCGGTTTTAAAGTTCCAAAGTCTAGACACACAATCATGTGACATTTTGAGCCCTTTGGCAACTGGCCTGCATTTATGGCCGTGACTACATCTTAAAGACACTTTTGGCGGAAACCAGCATTTACTTCTGCTTTCCAGTTAAAATTGCCCCAGAGTAAACAATGGGTTCATTTAACAAGCGCTGAAAAAAAAAAAGATCATTCAAAGTGGGTCTGATCACACGGAGACCTACTTTACGACCATCATGACTTACAACCGTAATTGCAGACTCAATTACAGTCGTAACTCGAAGACTGATATCTGCGTATCAGAATTTTGAGCTGGCTTCAACCTGGCAGTGAGTTTTCACCTGGCCTGATGTCAGAGTCAAGCTGTAGCCAGGAAATTTAAGAGAAAGGCCATAATCAAAAGGTACTGCGGGGTAGAGATGGACAAGAGTTGCCCATCGGTTCTCAAATCTGACAGTCATTACCAGTTCAAGCCCGGCTAAGACTTCGTTGACCCCTGGCGGCTGCCCGATCCAACGGATTACCCCATAGAAGGGAGGGTTCTCTTTCACTTCGGCTAAAGAGCCAACTTCAAGGCCATGCAGGTTGATGGGTGCTACGGTGGCCGGTGGACTCTCCTGGATTGCCCCGGAAGTCCCCTCTCCAATAACCGACTGAACAGATAAGGAGAGTGGGCTGTGCGATATAGAACTGTTGGCGGTGCTTGACATCTTGGTTAGACTGAAAGGCAGGGAATGGAATCTGTTCTCGGAAGATAAACTATTTGTCGGGGCCGGCTGCAGTGGTGGGGAAGCGTTTCCAAATCCAGAAGAGGAGTCATTGAGTGATTTTGCAGAATCTTCAGCCACTGTTGAATTTGGAGGAATACAAAGCAAGAGGCACAGAGAAAAGGAATGACAAATTTTATTAAGGCACCTGAACTGACGTTATGCGCTTTTCATATAAAATGAGTAAAACATGCATGGAATCTCTCTCTCTCTTTTTGACTAGATTCTACCATGTCAGAATAAATTACTTTAAAATGGTTTATTGGCACTTGCTAAGTACAACGAGCTAACAAGGAGATTTTACTAAAATCACAATCAAGGACTATCATCAAGACTATAATTATAACCAGTAATATTTCACAAATGATTGCAAAGTTTCTTAGTGATAGATTACAGCGGGTGACCGACAGTTCACAGCAATTCCAAACTTGGGTGGAAGAAACTGGGATCCTGGACTCCTTCCAAGTTCATACAGAATATCATGTGAGCTTGGTACATGCTTGAAATAAATTAGATATTGTCCCTCAAGTTTTCCAAGACTCCTATACTCTATGGCAGCTGGGCACAGAAGAAAAGCTGATGTGACAAAAAAAAATCTCGAGCACGAAAACCTTTGAAGCCACAATTCTATCTTATTCAACATTTAAAGACTATTTAGTATTGAAGAGGTATTGTGTATTTTGTGTCAGCTATTTAAAAAGTGAGGCTTATTGGTCAACTTTAAGCTATTTGCTTAAAAACTGCTATTCCAGATCATGCTGGCTGAGGAATTCTGGGAGCTGAAATTGCATCATTGCTGAGAGTGAGAAACACTGCTCTAGATCTTAGTAATCTGGATGCCAAGATTTACTGGGAAACAAAAATGACATCTACACCTCACGTGAATTCGTACCATCAGTTGCAAAGAGGCCCTAAAGGACATATTCACCAACTTGTCTCCTGAAGACACATAAATAAACCATGAGTCAAAGCTCAGAGCATGAGGTCACAAGCTGGTATAATAGCACATTACTATTTATAAGCCTCTTGCACGCTCTGCCTGCAACCCAACAGGTTTAATACAGAGAATAAGAGCAAGCTGTCACGCAATGTTGGGTATTTTCTACCACGACTGAGAAATTACCCTAAAACCTGGGCCGAAGAAAAAGTCTTCAGTTATCTGACAAACTACAGCCATGAACTAAGGAACTGGGAGTTAACCAAAAGAGTTTTACATTTTCCCCACCTTCGTAAAGCCATGCAACTGCTACTACAAGCAATTGCTAAAAAATTTTTTTTTAAAAAGTCAAGGGCAAATTTCAAAAGCTGTTTTGTGATAAGATGCTGGATCAAATGAGACTGTAAAATAATTCCACTGAGGCTGTGGAAGTAAGTAGCGGATGCTGGACCACGCTCATCTTGACTCAAAGCAGCACTACAAGGAAAGCTACAGCTTGAAAAAAAAAAAGGATGCATCAAAGCGTTATCCAAAAATCTAGGTCAATACAGTTGTCAGAATTCTCTATATCATTACAGTCATATTTTGCGACATCTGTGATCAAAATCCTGTTTGTTACCTTCGTCAATATACCATGTATTTTTTGATTTTGGCTGTGCTTGAGAATCTACTGAGGAGCCATTTAAAGCGTAGAAAAATTCTGTTCTGTTTCTGTTTACAGGATCAGAGAGCGCACCTGAAAAACAGGTCATGTCAGAAGGGAAGAATATATACAAGTAAGCTTTTATGTTCTTAGAAAAGTCTATAGAAGTGCTTCAGAACTGTATGACTCTTATGGAAGAAATATAACTGTAGGTCGTCTGGTCCAAACACTACAATACGGCATGATCTCATACGGTCCCAACCCTTTAACACAACAGCTGTGTTCTCAGCTTACATTTCAAGCCATACACATAGTACCTTTTAGAAAGCAAAGCTACATCAAATAACAATTCTGTTTAAGCTTAATGAAATTGTTTTCTCAATAATATCCTTAAGATTAATACCGCTGATTTCAGACTTAACATTTTAGAAAGAATGAACATGGGAATGTTATTTAAAATTATATGCCACCAAATCCCAACAACTCTTGACTTATACATCACAACCAACACTACGAACGGGTGACATATGGACTGTTTAACTGCAGTCATTGTAATATTAATATGCAAGGCAGAAACTGCCTCTATCCAGTCTTGTTCAGTAGACTGGAAAGATTAGCAGGTTAAGAATGGAGCAACCAAACTTTCTTCATAGGCTGCTTTACGTTAAGTGTGATGCAGGACCTTGGGATAATCCTAGGAATATGCAGCCATGCAAAGGTTCTCATGATTCCTCTTGAAATTTGGATATCCCTTTGCAATATATTTAATCCTTTGAAGTAAACTCCTCTTCTTCCTATTTTACAGATGGCGTTTGCAAGCGAGGAGCAATTTGGCCTGAAGGATCAAGCACAGGAAATTCAAGTAGCGAATCTAGAGGGCTCAATGGAAAATGAATCTATCCATTTCCATTTCTCTACATCAACATCAGTTTAATGTGTAGTGTACTGTGTTCCTTATAAAGGTTTGACCAATGTGTGTGTGTGTGTGTGTGAAACCTGTATAAGGAACGCAGTAAACTACACATTACACATCTTCACGGATGTTGATATAGAGACTGAGTAGTCACTTGCCTTTAAATAGCAACATAAGAAGATTGCACATGGCAATCCTCATTTAAGAAACAACACCATAAGTTTCCCTAAAATGTTGAGTCAAAGTACCTGTAGACTTTGGCTTGCTATGACCGAAAGCTTTGTCACCACCACCTCTGGAAGTATAAGCAAGTTTGGGAGGTCTCCTGTCCTGAGACACAGCCTCTAAAACAGAGCAGAGTTTAGCTATTTCACAAGGTATAAGAGCACATTATACCGCAATTTAATGTATTAGTTTCAAAACATTAATCAACAATAGGAAACACATTACACATTCCTCAGGAGGGCTGAAAGTCCTGATTTCATATAGAGAGATATATGTAAAAATTTTACATATAGAGATAAGTCAAACTAATATGAAATCTCAATTATAATACCTGTCATAATGGAACTATAATATAAACCAGTGTTTCTCAACCTTGACAATTTTAAGGCATGTGGACTTCAACTCCCAGAATTTTGGGAGTTGAAGTCCACATGCCTTAAAATTGTCAAGGTTGAGAAACACTGATATAAACTATCATGCTTTAGGAACAATATGAAAGTTTGTTTTAAAAAAACTGGTAATGATTAAATATTAAATAAATAAGGAATTTCTCAGATGGCCATTGCTGGAACAGATTGTCAGACTAAATAAACCTTTATATTAATCCAGCACAGCAATTCTAATGTTTTCTTACACCTATCTGCCTCTCATCTCTCAAATTCAGCCAATGAAACCTTAGCTCCAGTTTACACCTACAAATTTTCCATCTTTGTCCTTACCCAGCCAAAAAGTAAGTATCCTAATCCAGCTGTCCATTACCTAGAAATATATGATCTGCTGGTTCCAAAGACTGCTCACATATTTCAGTTTCCTTGGCAAGGCCAAGTAAATAGTTTCATTGCCAACTTCAAGTCTGAAAACCATGAAAGGGCCGTCTAGATCAGTGGTTCTCAACCCTTTTAATGCCGTGACCCCAACCGGTCGTAAGTCGAGGACTAAACCGGTCGTAAGTCGAGGACTAAACCGGTCATAAGTCGAGGACTAAACCGGTCGTAAGTCGAGGACTACCCAGCTGGTTGTAAGTCGAGGACTTTCCCTGCCCGGGAGCGCCGCACATGCGTGGTTCCGCCCCCTGCGCCGGCCGAGGCATAGCTGGCAAGCGGCAGAGACAGAGCAGGCCGACCACCAGCTGGCCCAGCCCAAGGGAGGTAAGGCACCCGCCGGAAAAGGGGAAAAAATGGCGGACAAAAAAATGGCGGACAGCCTTGCTTGGCGACCCGCGTGAAATGGTCGATCAACCCCAAATGAGGTCCCGACCCACAGGTTGAGAACCGCTGGTCTAGATTCTACGGTTTCTTGCTAAGCAAATCAGCTAATTTCAGTAGATCCTGTTCAAGTCACTATATTCCTCCAGTGTAAAGCAGCTGACTCATGCATGCAGCATAAAGGTTACAGTATTATTAAAGCTTTGTGAATAGAAAAACTGGCACTCTAATAATATGGAGAAAAGAACAGATTGCCTGTGGTTCTGAGCCCTTCTCACAAATACCCATTCTTTTATCAGAGCATATGTGGGTATCATTTGAACATATTCCTTTTAAAGAAGGTGTAAGAAAACAATCCTATAACCCAATACACAAATGCCGTACGGGGAAAAATAGAATCACTTGGAGAGACCTTATGCGTTATTTTTTTACCATGTACAGGTTTTTAAGTGTTCTTACCTAGCCTTTAAATCATTATGCATAATTATTCACAAATGTGAACTGCAATCACATCATTTCCATTCAACACTGTTCCAGTTCTCTAGCCCACACACTATCCTACTAAACAAAGACAATTTCTCAAGTAGAAAATTCACTGCCAGATAATGAGGACTTTCAACCATCAGTCCTCAAGCTTATCATCTGGAAATCATTGAGAAGATCAGCATCCTATTAAGACGAAGACATCTGACTTACAACAGTTCGTTTAGTGACTGTTCAAAAGTTACAACGGCACTGAAAGAATGACTTATGACCATTTTTCACACTCAAGAACTGTTGCAGCATCCCTGTAGTCACGTGATCAAAATTTAAATGCTTGGTAACTGTCTCATATTTATGACAGCTGCACTCTCTGGGGATCATATGATCACTTTTAATAATAGGTAATATGGTAGATACTGAAATATCTACTTTAAATTTGAACTGCAAAAAAGCCAAATTTTAAGCAAAACTAAAACTAGAGTCAGACATTAATCAACATGCTAAAATCTGGAAACTCTCCTCAAAATCAAAATAAAATATTACCTGGGATAACATCATTGATATGCAAAAGAAGTGTGCTTTCAACACTTGCAAAACTACAGAGCTGTTGTCCATTGTATCTTCCATCCCAATTTCCAATTGGATTATCCTAAAAAGCATTTTATAACATGTTTATCCGTATTGCTCAAGAGAACAGCCGAATGCACTCAAGAAAACCAAGAAATTACTAAAATTTGCGAAGTTTATGCAAAGCTAAGATAGGAAGCACAAACCATCACAAAGAAGCAGATTCTTGTAATGCTGGCAACCCACCTCTCACATACAGAAAAACAAAGGATTAGTCCAATAATCACATGCCACAATTAAGAAAAAAAACCTCCCAATTACCGAGGTACAAAACCCAGTTTGTCAGCAATTTTAGAAGTTTTACAAATGCAGCCATTCTCACTGGTTACCGAGAAAATGGAAAAGTTGACGAGTAAGGTAACTTTTTGATCTTTCACAGTTCTAAGTGGAACTAAGTGAGATTATGCAAGTACATCCCATTATATTCACTGTGCAAACAGCCTTTTGCTACATCAAATACCTATGGATATTTTGCCAAGTAGAACATTTGATTTCAGCATTTTTACTTGAAAGCTGTTGTACGTTTTCCAATTATAGAAACAAACGTCGGGAGAAAAGTGAGGAACAGCCAACTATTACTGAGGTGTTCTTGAGCGTTACAAATGACGAGGTGAAATTCAAATTCATACTGGGGAGTCATTTTATGTCCCTTCAAGAGGCCAAAACACATGGCTACTTTTTTCAGAAGAGAACTGAGTTCAACAAACATGCTTCCCATTAGAATCACAGACAAGATTTTGTTTTTAACCTGACAAGCTTCAAGTCATTTTGAACAGTTAAGTAAAGCCTGTTAAACTCTCAGCTCATATGTAATCTTGTTCGTTGTTTGTTGTCCAACAAAGTAATACTGTACCATAAAATTCTTATCCCCTAGAGAACATTCTTTGTTGCTGTACTGTAATCCAAGAGGCATGATTATCCGCCAAAGCAAATTAATATACATTTTATCTCAGGGGTCTTTCTTCAAACTTGGCCCTTTTATGACTTGTGGACTTCAACTCCCAGAATTCCTCAGCCAGGCACACTGGCTGAGGAATTCTGGGAGTTGAAGTCCACAAGTCATACAAGGCCCAAGCTTGAAGACCCGTTTTATCTGATACTAAAAAATATACTAGAATGATTACACATGGCGACAATTGTCATAAGTAGCTTCCAAGGATGCCACCCACCAGCAATATTGCATGTACTATTTTAAACACACATGCAAAAAAATCATAAAAATCTTGATTTCTTACCATGTCCACTCCAACAACGTATCCTAAACTCTCGTTTCCTGGTATGACATCACAGAATATAACTGTCCCATACTCTATATTCTTCCCTATCTTCACAGAAACCCTGGAGTTGAGCTCCAAAGGAGGAAGGTCTACCTGCATTGAGTCAACTGGAGCTGCATAGTCATTCTCCAGTTCATTGTCATCATCTTCCATCAGTTCTAGTTTGTCTAGTGCAACAAACACCCCACAGTCTTCATCACATCTGAACAGCTGTTTGCCTTGGTACTGTCCATCAGTAAAGCCCTGACCACGACCTTCTTCCTGCAAAAGCAAAAGAAAATGAATTGTAAAGTTCAGCCAAATGTGGAGCTGAGGAAGGTCCCAAGTCTCACAACCTTCACGGAAATTAAAACTCACTGGAAAACCTTAGATTAGGGAGGCCCGTTTCACACAATATGCTAAACCACAATAGAACCCATTTATTTTTAGCTCAACAAACGGCAGGAATCCAGCAAATGAGAAAGTTTATGTAAAGATATTCATAATAAAGCAACTCATGTCTGAACTCAAGGGCCGCGTCTGGTAGGAGACATTCTCTCAATTCAGCCCACTTCAGCTACGTCGCAAGGATAAAATGAGATGGAGAACCATCCACACCATCCTTCAATCCTAAAAGGACAGGAATACAAATGTGATAAACAAATTAAAACCTAACACTTTGCAGGTTTTCAGAAGGCATGCTCAACAATACAGGGAGTATGTTTCTTTAATGTATATGGAGATTCTCAGCCATCCAGGTCATAGTTATCCTAAAGATGCTTGTTTTTCTTTGAAGACCTTTTGCTTCTTATCCAAGAAGCTCCTTCAGCCCTTTCTCAACAGAAGGGGAGGGATCCGACATCACCTATCTCCAGTCTACAACACAGTCCTTTCAACAGTTCCAAGAAGGCTCCACAACCATTTGCACCACTCAGGTGACTCTGAGGACACAGATAAGCCTCCAGGTAGCATTAACGACTCGCTGAAAGAATGCAAATGACCAGCAGTCTGCAAGGAGTATAAATCCTTCCATTCCCCCACCATCCAGTCAGAGCTGAAGAAGCTTCTGGGATGAGAAGCGAAACGTCTTCAAAGAAAAACAAGAAGGTCCAGTTTGCCTCGTGAAAAAAAAGCATCTTTAGGTGTCATTAATGTACATTAGAGCAGAGGTCCCCAAACTTTTGGGCACCAGGGACCGGTTACGTGGAGACAGGTTTTTCCAGGGGTGTGGTTTTGTGTGCTGCCTGCATCCTGTGGATGGGGCTTTCCTTCTTTGTACGGACCTGTTGCCGGCATGCCATGGCCCGGTACTGGTCCACGGACTGGGGGTTAGGGACCCCCTGCATTAGAGGATTCTTTAAGAAAGAAAGAGAATCCTTACCAGAAGCTCCACTCCGAAAAATATGCCAGACAGGGATCTCTCTTGTATTAAGGGTCCTCTAAAGCGAACTATTCCAGGGTATTTCTCTTCTCCCGATCTCAGCTGCACTTTCACTGGGGAGCCGACATCGATGTGGAGGCCCTTCCGCAGTCTGCCTCTGCTTTTAAATATACTGTATCTCTCCTCGCAATTGGTAATTGCCAACAGCAGCTCTGCTCGTTTTTCCTCTATGTCGACGATTTCCTTCTCGTCGACGTACAGGACCACGTGGGGCTGTTCCAGAATCTTTATTCCTATTTGCAACTTCTTGCTTTTGGATGAAGGATTGTTCCGGATGTGCCCGCCGGAAGACCTGTCTTGGATAAACTGGCCAATGCTACCTTTAGGTATTTTTAGTAGCTTTTGAGTCTGCTTGTCTATAATGCTGCATTCCTGGAGAAGCAAATAAAAGATACGTTCTTCCCAATAGGGAGAGCTCGCTTTCTCTTGACTCCACAAACCCGAAGTCATTGTGGTTCAAGCTTTGTATAAAGATGAAAAAAGGAGAATCTTCAGAAGAAGCTAAGTTGGCAACATAACTGTAAAGGAGGGTTTGGTTTTTTTTGTTTTTTGTTTTAAAAAAAAGAAAGTTCCAGCTCCAACAATGCCTTAATGTTCTTCATCCACGTCCTATGGAGCTAAATCCAGAAAAGATGACCTGAAGCATAAAAATAAAGGAAAGCATCATTAGAGGCTAAAGGATACCATAAGAGTAAAGGACAGGAAAACAAGACACTTTTGAAAGCAGGCATCATCACTGATTTTTATAGACCTATGACAACATCCAGCTGGCAAGAATGAGAACATGTTTAGATAGCTACAAAGGTCATGCTGAAGAATTTCTCTGCACAATAAATTTGACTGGCTAATAGATGCCCTATTCATCATCATCATCATCACCACCACAAGACAGACCATGTAGATTTTATCTTTGCAATCCTTATTACCATAATATCTTAAAGTGAGTGGACAGTTGCTCTCACAAATAAAAGCTTTCTCCCCCTTTTTTAGTAATCAAAACAGTTTTGAATTTTCTGGAAAAATAAAGATAAGCACAAGTTTTTTTTAATCCCACCATCTGACTGTAGGAAAAAACTTTAGGAAAGTGCATGTTTAAGTAGTACTTAAAGTAACACATGCTTTGTAAATATGGTATCATGGATATTTCTGGAAATATCTGAGCGGTAGCAAACTCCATGTCTATACCCTGATTCAATCAGAATAATCTCTTAAGGAGGATAGGCTTCCCAATAAAAATCATGCAAAATAAGATTAGAGAAAGAAATTTGTAAAGCTATTAGCAATTGGAAAAGTCGTCAATGTGCTTCATAGGTTTTTTTTTACCAATAGAAGCCAAGATACAAAAGAAGACTCACATCTGTAATCATTTGGAATTGAGAGGCTTGTTCATTACGTAAAATAAACTCTACAAATCACTTGCTGTCTTTCAGTCTAAGTAGAACTACTAATAATACTTTATTATACATCAGTATTTCACAAAAGCAGTATTTTTTCTTAAATACGCATGCATATGAAAGCATCCCCTGAATCTTGGGAATAGGAATAGATAGAAAGAAAAGAGGTAATTGAGAAAGGAAGGACTTTTCAAAGGAAAGCTAGTGTTAATTTCTGAAAGTCTAGGACAGGGGTAGGCAACTTTGGCTCTTTTATGACTCGTGGACTTCAACTCCCAGAATTCCTGAGCCACCTAGACTTAAAATACCAGTAATTAACGGCTGCAACAAACAGCCAACCTCAAAACTTCATTAAAAGAACTAACCTTAGGACAGTGGTGGCGAACCTATGGCACGGGTGCCAGAGGCGGCACTCAGAGCCCTCTCTGTGGGCACGCGCGCCGTCACCCCAGTCCTAGGCCTTCAGCTGGGTTTTATAAAACCTTTTCGCTTTAGGCCTCCACCGCCGTGTACAAAAAAAAAAGGTTCAATCAATCAGTCAATTTCAACTTCTCACGGGAAAAAAAATCTTGCAAAGCTGGAATTGATTGATTGAACTTTTTAGTCCCACCCAGTCTGCTATTACACCACAGCCACGCCCACCCAATGGGCCACACCCACCCAACACCTGACGATGCGTAAGTGGGTTTTGGGTTGCAGTTTGGGCACTCGGGTCTCTAAAAGGTTCGCCATCACTGCCTTAGGATATAATTTTTGAACCAAAGATCAACATAGGAATTGAAACAAAGAACTCAACTATGAGCCTGGGAGACAAAAGAATGGTTTTTTTAAAAAGTTATTCTTTGCCTTCACGTCAAGCACAACTGTCTGAACGATCCAACCACATCGGAGGAATGTAGCAGTCACTCTGACATCAAGGTTTGTTTGGAATGGTTATTTTCATAAAATTGTATGAATTTTATAGAGTTGCAGCTACCCAGAATCTGTACAAAGTTGACAGTCTAGGAATGCTGTAAACAAATAAGTGTCAACAAGTAACAACTGAGGTACAGTGCAGCTTTCAAGATTGGTCTATGGTGAAAAACAATCAGTATCACAAAAGCATCCAGGTGACTGCAGATAGTATGCAGGCTCTCAATTCTGATCCAATCAAGCAAGGTAGTTCGTGTGTCCTTGAGTGAACAGAACCCAGCAGAAGGCACGTACAGTATTATTCATCCTTATATTACTCACCACGAAGATCCTTCTAAGACATGACTGAGATGCTAAAGATTGAACCAAAGTCTTTTAAAAAGAAAGCACCAACAGTGGCCCACCTCCTCTATGGCTCCCTCAGTTAACCACTGTAGCATCTTAAAGTCTAATAATTTAGCAGCTATAATCTTATATAATTCTGCTAAGCCACACCAAAGTTGTGCCTAACACTAAGTCATGAGAGTGGATTTCATGATCATGCTAAAACAAATAAATCACATTACGGTTTAGCGTTATCCATAAATTACTAGCATCAGCTTTCATTAGCTCTCTCTATTAAATTCATATATAATACATTTCAAAGGAACCAATGGCAACCTGCTCATCACACTGTATATTCACGATTCTGTGACTGTTTTTAGTTGGAGATCTAACAAGTGATTGGAGTTGAACCACTGAGTTTTGTGAATGGAGTGACTGTCTGATATCCTCAAGAATGCAAGTAATATTCCAGCCTCCACATAATACTGGCATTCTAGAAGTCCATTCATCAGATACATGGTGTTATCAATGAGTATACTGATAATATGTAAGAAGGATAAGAAATCCTGAGAATCAAACAAGTTGACAATAGTGAGGTAAAGCAGCCTTTAAACTCAAAAAGTATCATGACAAAGTATGATAATGTTAATTCACCACCATAGCAAAGCTACAAAGGACTGGTATTTACCTTGTAGAATTTGAATTCTGTCAAGAAATATTACAGACATTCTGTACTCGATGTCATGAACCTTTGTCTCACCGTTTGTATCTGATTCCCAGTAATTGATAAAATGGATTATGACCTTGATATGTTGTGCATTCATCAATTTCTTAGTCTTTAGGGTATCACAAAACACTTAGTTTTGGTACCAAAGATCAACAAATAACAATTATTAATATGTAGTAAATTTGTACATTGCCCAACCTCCCAACAAACCTTCTCTAAATCTGTATCTCTCTAAAGTTACATTTATTGATTAAATAAGACACATATATTCTTTCATAGCAAGACACAATTAAACATATCCTGCTACACTTAAACCAGAAAACAATGATTTAGAAAAGACAAAATAACAAATAAAAAAACTCTGGTTTCTTCCCAAAGAACTATTAACCAAAGTTTTATCCTTAGATTAGTGTGGGAAGCTTCAGCTCACTGCTAACTTTGTGGTTCAGTATGACTTCTGCAAAGAGACTCCATGTGATCATAAGACTTGCATCACTGAATTAAGTCATGAACCGCTTCAGTCTGAAGTTTCAGCCTGAGCAAATGAATGACCCCATCTTGGCTTATGTTGCAGAAACAGATTCTAGTCCACAAAAGCTTCTGCCACAGCTGCCCTTTTGTGCAGGCTTACTCACAATGAAGCATGAACTGAACTTAATAGGCTTTATTCCAGAATAGGCAGGATTGTGATTCCCCTATAAATTTCTTTCTGTTATGTGATATTGTGGTTTCAGTATTTGTTTTCTGACTGCAAAAGACAAACCCAAGAACCCTTCTGAATTAAAGTACTGTACTGTAAGGAGAACCTGCTGAAGTAATGTAAGCACTGTAAGAAGAAATATTTTTATAATATAGACATGCATACAAAAACCACACTATTCTCCAGAGTAAATATTTTAAAAGGACGAAACCATAGAATCTTAGTCTATTTTTAAGTATAAGATATCCATAGGAAACATAACAGACAACTTGCTGAGTGAAAAGTCTTAAGGTCCTGCCTAGAAGGAAACAAGGCACCTTTTTTACTTCATCACAATGAAAAAAACCCAAATCAAATGAAAAATGATGTTTATGTTTGGCTGGCATATATACATACATATACTCAGAAAAACACATACATACATATCCACACATATATATGTATTCCTTATACATATATGTACGCATACAGGCAGATACACACACACAGGCACATATACACATATACTCTCCTACACACACACAAACTTTAGGCAGTTTTGTCACCCTGCCCAGCACAAAAGAAGCCTCCCCAAATGAAAAAGTGAAACCAAAAAGGGGAAAAAGGGGCAGGAAGGAGAAAACTTTCTCTGAAATTGTACACAAAGCATATCCAAAACATTTTAAGGCGCTCCCTCTGTTTCAAGCACAGAAAGGTGTGTGTGTTGTGTGTGTTTGTACAATGGAGAAGCCAACCTACTCAATGAAGAGGGGGAGCAGCTGCCAGCACCATCATAACCATGTGAAGAACTTTGCCAACTAATTGCACGAAGGCGAAAATTCAACATGAAACAAACAACAGCAAATAGTCGCCTTTGTGTAGTAGTGAAAAGGATGAAACAATTGACTGTTTGATCAGGGGCTGCAGCAAAATTTCACTGCCAGAGGTTTGATATTGAACGTAGTTAAAAAAACAACTTCCAGGGACCATCAAGGTTTTGGAAAAACAGCAGGTTAAGATCTTATGGGACTTCAAGATCCAACAGGCATCTTGCTCATGACATGCCTGGCAGAACAGTTACTGAAAAGAAGAAAGTTTGGTTCACTGACCTTGCTATTCTGGGTCATGCTAGGACTGAGGAAAAACAATTGGAAAAAATTAGAAAATATTGGGACGTGCAGATCAAACTGAACGCTTATGGAAAAAGAAATTTGTTGTTATACCAATCATAACTGGTATATCTAAAAGACTTTCTAGGATGGCTGGATGATTGCGAGAGAAAGGGAGAGATGAGATAGATAGGTAGGCAGATAGGTAGGTAGGTAGATAAACAGACGGATATAGAGATATAGACATAGAGATAGAAAGATAGATAGATAGATGGTAGGTAAGTAGGTAGGTAGGTGGATGGATAGATAGATAGATATAGAAATAG